CTCATTTTGACATCTCACATGTTTGACAGATATGGTCGCCAAACCATATCCTAATGAGGACACAGATGGATATGGATTTGGTCTACTAATTTCGCCGGCGGTTGGCGACAAAACTGCGACATCTCGCAACCAAATTGTTTGCTGGGTAAGCAAATCTTTGGAGTACCGATGGGTTCTCCATTGTTCCCTATTATCGCGGATATAGTAATGCAAGATTTGGAAGTTTCCGTATTGAAAAAATTAAAATTTAGACCCGCTTTTTATTACTGTTATGTAAATGACATTATTTTAACCGCGCCCGCCAACGATTTAAATTATCTTTTGGATGATTTCAACGAATATAATGACAGATTGAGACGCAGGATGGAAATTCTTTGAGCTTTTTAGACGTCAAACTGATTGTGTCTAATAACGGAACAATCATGTGCGACTGGTACCATAAACCCAAATTTTTGGGCAGGTATTTGAATTATCACTCCTCACATCCAGTCTCTCAAAAAATAGTCTTAAAAAAACTATTATCGGAATGGTAGACAGAACTCTGTTGTTGTCCCACCCTATGTTTCAAGCAAAGAATATAAAATTTATAATCAACATCCTCATCTCCAACAACTATCCGATGAAAATAATTTGTAAAGTCATCAATGACTGAGTAAAATATCTGATTGCGAACAAAATTAACGGAATATCGGATAGTTTGGAGTCCACACCAACTTCAAAAACTATTAAAAATTATTTCGTTGTACCTTTTAGTAATAAAATATCGCACACAATTTCAAAATAGTTGAAAACGAGAGATGGAAATATGTTAGTTTATAGAAGTCTCAATAAAGTAAATCGATTTATCAAAAATATCAAAGATCCTGTAGATATTGAACGAAAAAACATAGTTTATAAGTTGCAATGTAATGATTGCGATGCTTCGTACGTAGGCCAGACTATGGGACAACTCGAGTTTAGGGTTTCCGAACACAAAAATGAAATTAATCGTCGCGTGAAGAATGTTTCAAATTACAAAGCAATTCAAGTAACGTCATGTCGGATACGGACAAGCTAAAATCATATTTTTCAGTTTTAGAAAATTACAAGGCGACTTAGTCTTCGTTTTAAAGTGATGTGGGGATGAGACCGTTACATGTATCTTAAATATGGAGGGGGCCGCTCAGAGTTGCAAGATCGAGCAGAGAGCAACGAGAGCATCGAAGCGGTAGGAGCACGCACACAAGCCAGAACCGCCGTCTGTGTGCGTGCTCCAAGTGGGAGATATTTTACTCGGTCATTGATGACTTTACAAATTATTTTTATCGGACAGTTGTTGGATATGAGGATGTTGATTATAAATTTTATATTCTTTGCTTGAAACACAGGGTGGGACAACAACAAAGCTCTGTCTACCATTCCGATAATAGTTCCTATTTTTTGAGAGACCAGATGTGAGGAGTGGTAATTTAAATATCTGCCCGAAAATTTAGGTTTATGATACCAGTCGTACATGATTGTCCCGTTATTAGACACAATCAGTTTGACGTAAAAAAGCTCAAAGAATTTCCATCCTGCGTCTCAATCTGTCATTATATTCGTTGAAATTATCCAAAAGATAATTTAAATCGTTGGCGGACGCGGTTAAAATAATGTCATTCACATAACAGTAATAAAAAGCGGGTCTAAATTTTAATTTTTTCAATACGGAAACTTCCAAATCTTGCATTACTATATCCGCGATAATAGGGAACAATGGAGAACCCATCGGTATCCCAAAAGTTTGCTTATATACATTATTGTTGAACAAAAAATAAGTGGATGACAAAAACAAATTCAACCGCCTTCAAAAAATCAGAGAGAACGATCTTTGTCTTGAGTCGAATGTATTTCCATCTAATCTTGATGCTTCGCATGGCCAAATCAATCAGAATGTTTGTAAATAATGAGACCACGTCTAAAGACAGAAGAACGTGATTAGGCTGCAGCACAACGTTGCCTAGTTTATGGATCAAGTCAAAACTGTTATTAATGTGGCTGTTGGTTAACGGAATATTCTTGACAATGATATTGTGTAAATACTCAGCAAAACAATGTAGGGAGCTATTGATGGAAGATATTAATCTATATGGATAGCCTTGTTTGTGGAGTTTAGGCACTCCATAAGCCCTTGGGATGATCCCATCACTCGATTTAATACATTTGTAAACCAAATCAGTGATATAATCTTTCTTTACTCAATTTCTCAACAATTTATTAAGTTGAGTCTCAAAATTATCTATTTTAAGTATCTAATGGGCCACAAATGGATCTATGTGAAACGTCTTTCTCAATTCAAATAGACATATAAGATAGTAACAAATAAACTCGGATTTACATTAAAAATGAGTAACATATTTAAGTAGAAGAGAACAGGATCACGGCACTAAGCTAGTTGAATCGATCATCTCAATTACAAGAAACAATATTTCTAATCATGTATTTGACGATATATTTGTGTTAAAAAATCCAATATATTGCCAAATACATGTTTAGAGATATTCTTTCTTATAAGTAAGATGATCAATCCGACCCACTGAGCACCGTTCCCCGTTCTCCCGTAATTAGTAAAGCCTACTTAAAACCTACTTAAAAAAATTAAAGGCAAATTTAAAGTAAGTAATGCAGCTACATATATATGTCACTTCGCTAAACAATATTTAATAGAGCGTGAGATTGATAATCTTGCCACACGGGTTTGAGTCCTGTCGTGATTTTCGTTTTTTTTTCTATTTTTTCTTTCTATTTGAATTTGCTATTATTTCACACTAATTTTCAAGGTTTACATAGTTTTTTTTTTAGTTTTAATAAATCTATTAAAATATTACATAATTATGTCAATATTTATTTACTCTGTTATTATTATAATTGTAATAACTTTAAAATATAAACAAATTGAAAATTATTGTAAAATAATAATAAAATTTAAAAAATAATAAATAGAAAAAATAGGAGTCACGACAGAACTCGAATTAATAAAATCATTAGCTCTATGCTCAACCATTGCGCCATCAAATTAATTAGGATTTAATTCTACAAAACTGAAGAATATTGCGCAACATGTATATGAAACCAAAATGGCTTAATAAGATAGACATTTTTAAAACATTCAAATATAAATATACTTCGTACGTCTAATAATGTACATTCTTAAAACATATAATATTCACGGACGTTTCGACTAAATAAAACCAAAATTTAGATGTTGGAATCCATCCAATAAACGTTGTGTGCTGTCAGGATATACTGTCTGTTTGGTATAAAAACAGGAAACTATCTTTATCCAATATTTAATGTTTTTATTATATATTCACACTTTCTCATTTTTACATATTTACATTATTAACACATCTTGTGCAGATTGCAGCATAGTATTGGTATTAATAATTGCACATAATGTGTTAAATTAATTACTCTACGTTAATTTAAGAAGTTTGGCACTGTTAATCAAGAAGGAAAAAAAATCAGATGGTATCTATCTTATCGACATTTATAAAATTTACATTTGACAACACACAATTGCTACAAAAGAGATTAGTTTTGCTGAATAGTAGAGAGTACAGTAAATGACCAGCTGATACCACGTGCGCTGATGCTACATTTTCTTCATCACTCTAGGAATCGTTGTTTTTGGTGTTTTAATAATTAGTTTTGTCTTTAATTGCATAGAAAGGTCTTTCATCTTTTGCACTGTGATTCCTATGTTCTTAATCTACCAGTACAAATTTTTTTCAAATAACTGTGTCATTTTTACCTTACATTTTTTCTGTCAAAATATGAGTCCCATAAGAATATGTTGAAAGTCTGGATTTTCCGAGTGTTTAACAACAATTTTTTTTGGAATTTTTTCATAGAAACAATATATAATAATATATAATAATATTGAAAAAATTTGTAAAATTTATTTTATGACCAAAAACAAGATTCTTAAGTTTCAAAACCTGTTGTCATTTTTTAAAAACGTCCCAAACTTCCTTACTTGTTACACTATTTTATATCATGTATATTCTTTCTAAGGAACGTTTCTGCCAAATAAGTTGATTATGAAAGTAAACAAATCTTGAGATATATTCTTATTCGAAATTTTGTGACTTATATCTACATAATTTTTGATAGGTAACTTATGTTTCGAAGATGGCTCTAATAATGCTTTTTCAGCAAAGTCATCTAATCTAATATGAAGCATTTGTTTCTGAAGTATAGGAACTAACAAGTTGTACTTATCAATTTTAGTATTTATCTCTTTTTCCAGAATTTGGAAGTTTCTTAAATTATTCTTCCATATTGATTGATCTTCCAAAGTTAATGGAAGCTCTCCTACATTATTACGTGCTTCTAATAATTGTTTTTTCATTTCTTCAATTTCTTTCCTAATTTCCTTTGATAATTGTATCCATTCTGGAGTAAATCCGTTATTTATCAATATCTACAATACAAAAGCAAAATCAAGCAATCTATTTAATATTTAATGATGCACACGTTTTTAAAACAATTATATCATTTTTACCTGATTTAATTTATGAGTCACAAAATCAACATAAGGATTTCTAATATCTGTAGTGTTTAATGGTTTTCCCATTCCAGGTAAATTGCTAAATTCACCTTTACTCATTGCCTCTTGAATTAAATCCTCCACTAAGCGATCCATACCATATTGAGTTTTAACATCTTTAGCTTTTTGTTTATCCATACCAATTAATGTATTACGTTCTTCAGCTTGTAGTTTCTTAAGTCTATGCTCCATAATATTATCAACTGTTTTTTGAGCTTTTTGAATTGTATATAGTCTTTGCCTTTTGCTAGGTGTGCCAATTCCCACATCAAAAGTTAAATAATGACGATGTTGTGGTGCTGTGTGCTTAATATAAAAACAATTCAACATAATAATTTATATAACGTAATAAGTTCTTAAAAAAGATGTTTAGCTCTAAATATGTTCAAAATAGAAAACGTTGTAATGGCAGTTGAAGCAGACACGATTGTTGTTGTGTAAAGGTATAAAATATGTGTTTATTTGAAATGCATGGGGAGTGTATAAATGTATAGACATTTCGACTTTCAATTTAAGTCTTTATCAATATAATATTATAATTCTAAAAAAATATGATAGTCGCAAATGATACATAAATAAGAATAAAAAGATTTATACAAAAAAATAAAGGAACTTACAAGAATAAACAATAGTAGTGGTCTTCATATGTTATGTGTAACGTACATGTTTGAATTAACAGGCCACATCCTCTCAGAAGCAAAGAAGCAACTGGGAGAAGCGAACCGTGGTCGTTTACAACAGCTTCCATCTCTTTAAGGTGATTTCAGAGATTACCTTTGATGACTCGTTTGAATTAATTTCTCTCAATGTTGTCTTTTTATTCACAAATATTCCATTTAACCTTGTCATCAGTGATTTAGAAAAAAGATGGCACCTCATAAAAAACGAAACATTTTTACCTAAAGAAGAATTTTTTACTGCCATTAATTTTGTTTTCAATTCAACTTTCTTTCTATTTAATAATCAATTTGACAAACAGACTTTTGGAGCACCCATGGGCTCTCCACTCTCCCCCATTTTGGCTGATATCGTTATGCAGGATCTCGAACAGACTACTATCAATTTGTTACATTTCCATCCATCATTTAATATTCGATATGTTGACGATGTAGCCTTAATGGTTCCCGGGGATTGTTATGAACACTGTACTCGATCTCTTTAACTTCTACCATTCTCGTCTTCAATTCACTATGGAGGTAGGTCACAACAGACTGAATTTCTTGGACATTACTATTATTAAGAACAACAATTTGTAAATTTATGATTGGTATCACAAACCGACATTCTCTGGCAGATACCTTAATTTCTTTTCCAACCACCCTATCAGCCAGAAAGAAGGCACAGTCATGAGTTTGGTTGACAGAGCATTCTTTTTATCCCATCCAGACTTTTATAAGAAAAGCTTTGACTTCATTTTTAAAATTTTAATTGACAATAACTACCCGCTTGACTTCATATATGACATTTTCAAACTAAGACTCAAATATAATTTTTTAAAAAATAATGACTTAATGAAATTCTCGGCAAACGATACTGATATTCCAGAAGAAAAATCTTCTCGATGGTTTGTAATGCTTTACATTAACAATTTTTCTGAAAGATTTTTAACCACACTTCCAAAAGACATTCACACACGTTCTGGTTTTTACAGTCTTAACAAATTGTCCAAGTTTATTAATGTCCTGAAGGATCTATTACCTCCTCCTTCTCATCTATTCGTTGTTTACAAGATTAATTGTCTTGATTGTGAGGCTTCCTACCCAGATAGCCAACTGAATGCAAGTTGTTGGCAACTTGCCACAAATATTATTCATATGTTTTCAGCAATGTAACAAAAGGGTGTATCCTCTTTTCAGTATGTTCTTGCCAACAACAGTTTTCAAAATATAATAACAGCAAGTTCTCAACAACTCATCAGCAATAAACACTTATATTATTTTTCTCCACTTATGAATAAAAATTATTGCTCATATATTGCTGACTCACATGTCCTAAACATTGGCTACAACAATTGATTGATAATAAAACTCAGCATATTGATACTGAATTGACAAAAACATTTTCGTTGCGTTAAATAAAAACAACACAATAGCAATTGGCAAGCAACTTAATCTATACAATGATTTGCTTTATATTGAGTTTTCACATTTGGCTATCTGGGTACGTTGGTCAGACTAGTAGAATGTTACTGTACTATGTGAATGTTACTGTACTAACAAGAATAAAAGAACACAAGAATCACATAAACTGAATCTCCACTCAAAGTTCAGTGATAACTGATCACAGAATTAATTACTCGCACGATTTTGATTGGGATTATGTTGAGATTTTAGACAATGGAAGATCTTACTATAAGCGTGTAATCTCGGAAACTCTATGTATCAAGAATCAGAGTCGCGGACTTAATTTACATAGTGACACAGAAAACTTAGATAAATCTTATTTACCATTTGGATAATATAGTCAATTAGCTTTACATTACAAGTACGTGACTTTGGTTTTTGATTTGTCACTAACTTATAGCTCACGGTTTGCTTCTCCCAGTTGCTTCTTTGCTTCTGAGAGGATGTAACCTGTCAATTCAAACATGTACGTTACATATGAAGATCATCATAACATATAAAGACCACTACTATTGTTTATTCTTGTAAGTTCCTTTGTTTTATTTGTATAAATCTTTTTATTTTCACTTATGTATCATTTGCGACCATCACAATTATATTTTTTTAGAATTATAATATTATATTGATAAAGACCTAAAGTGAAGGTCGAAACGTCTATACATTTATCATCATGCATTTCAAATAAACTCATCCATACATTTCAAATAAACATATTTTACACCTTTACACAACAACAACCGTGTCTGCTTCAACTGCCATTACAACGTTTTCTATTTTGTAACATAATAAGTTATGTGTGTATAAAGATGGTTTTACCTTAATATCAAAATTTTCCATTTCTAATGATATATCACTTTTCTGACTATTTCTAAGTTTTCGAATTTCCCTATAGGCATTTTCAATCTATCTTAAACAATTATATGTTAATAAAGCATGTTTGATTTATTTATTTCAGTAAGTAATATATATTCTTGTTTTATACTTCAGAAAATCGAACAGCATTAGCATCTAATGTTCCACTGTCTGGATGAAAGCGCTTTGCAAGATTAACAAATGCTAATCTTAATGTTTCATCCTCACAATCTTCTGCTACACCAAGTGTCTTGTATAATTCCTATTAAAAAGAAAAACATGTCATATAAATTAGTTACACATATTAGAAATATAACATTTATTATACCTTTGAAATGTGTTTAGAAGAAAATTTGTTACAATGCTTGAAGTTTGTAAATATCAAATCAATATATATACCATATGTCATATAATCTTTTGGTTGAAAATATAATTTTGTAATACAAAACATAATTTTTGCGTAAAGAAAATTATGTATCAAATTATTTTTTATTATTCCTTTATACACATAAGGTTTGTTTTATTTCCCAGCACTGGCACTAGTTCACAGGCGGCATCCCGTTTTACGCATATGCGCGCATTTATAGGTTTGTTTTAAGGCGATGTCCCATTGAGCGGAAATCTATAGCGGAACGGAATGTGCGGAACCAACTCGACCAATCGTAACCACAGAAAAAGCGAAGGAAAGAAAACGGAATGGCTATGATTGGTCGAGCTGGTTCCGCATATTCCGTTTCGCTATATATTTCCGCTCAATGGGACATCGCCCTTACTTGCATCAGAGAGAAGAATGAGAGCGGCCAGGCCCATAAGAGTTTTTACGATCGCTATACCGGCCCGTAAGCTAGCGCATGTCCATGGGTGGT